CATGACGAGAACCTCGTGAAAGCTGAGAAAGATAAACAAATAAAATATCTAGACTTAGCTCACGAGGTTGTCGACATGTGGAGTGTGGATTCGGCTATCATTGTGCCGATAGTCGTGTCGGCCAATGGGTTAATCCCTAAAAGCCTCGACATCCATCTTAGGAGGCTGGCGTTAGGTGGATGGATCAAGGGCCTGATACAGAAGGCAGTTCTCCTAGAAACGGCACGTATCGTGAGGAGGTTTCTATCTCTGGAGCCCTAACCACCGGTAGCTTGGACCATGCTCCCGCTACTGGTCGGCTCCTATTTTTTATATTTTTAAATATTATTTTTATTTTATAAGTAGTGTTTAAAAATGTAATTTATAGAGAATTTTAAATAAATATATGTAAAATGAATGATACAATTGTTAACTTCACTCATCAACGAAAAGACCCGAATCGAACCGAGTACACCCGATCGTTCGCGTGACGCCTACGCAAACAGCTAAGTTTCGCCGGATATTCAGCTATCCGGCCACTTGGTCGGCCGAATATCCGGTATCCGGCCAAACTGCTATCCGTTTCATCTCTAATAATTATCAATGTCAACACTATACAACCACAATCATAGCTGTTAAAATAGTATTCAGAGTACGGAATATAAAGCCAAACTCAAGAACATTTAGTTCAATCAATATCCACGCAATACGGATGCAATAAGCGCTAGTGTTGCAACTCAAGAGTAGGTACGACATTTCACAATACCAATGTCGATCGATCGGAAATGGATTCAAGAGTAAGCCCCTAGGGCCTCAGGTGAAATAGTGGTCTAACGTTCAGTACGTTTGGGAATGTGGTTCAGTTGGAATGGGACTGCCCATTCCCATCAATTATAAAAACAAATACTAATATGTCCAAAGCAGAAGTTGGAACGCTTATCCTGTTTCCCCCTATTGTTGTATTCCCTGTATTTAGTTAGTAAGAGTCTTACATCCGTCCTACCTGTTTACCAGGGCTTGATTCGACGATTTTCGATAAGATCGCATAGGCTTCGGGTATGTCGTAAAAGCCACAGTGTCAAAACCATAAAAATATTATTTTATTGACAATGACGTAAACTTGTTTCTAATGTCAGTGTCATAAACACGTGTGATTATTATGTGTTGCTGTTGTTGTTTTGAGTTAGGTACTTTATTCTAGTCTATAATAGTGAACAGTCAGTTCGTTAGAAAATAATAATTATTAGACGCTCTAATAACTAAGAAGAAGATCATTATCTATTGTTAAAATGAGTTGTACACACTGCGAACAAATTGCAAAATATAAATGCCCCGTGTGCAGAATGCCATAGTAAGTGAAAATGTTAATGAGCATTTCTCAAAAAAAATGTACCATTTCTTAGAAAATATGATAAAATGAAAATATTGATATATACTTGATTTCTTTGTTTTAAGCTACGGGTTAAGGTCTAAAGTTTATAAATATGAGGTTTGTTTTCTCATATAAAACGTAAATAAATAGCAAAATCTATCAAAACCAAACCAAGGTGCAAAAAAATTCTTATTTTGTTACCCTCGCTAGATTAAGTGAATTTAATATTGAATTATATTAGTAGAAGTTTTATTCGATTAAAATGGGATAATAAAACAAAATTTCATTTGTTTTTCAAAAATGAGTTAATATATAACAGAAAAATCACAAAATATCGGCAGTAATGCATCCTTTACGTTACTATTCGGCCACAACTCTTGATTTATCTTTATATTATTGAGTCTATTGTATTTCTTTTCATATTTTTTTTATAGATAAATAATGCAAAAAAGAAATATATTTTAGGTTTTATAACAAAAACATATTAAAACCTTTTACAATATTAAAAAAAGAAAAGAATTATGTGCCCGCTTTTATGGGACAGTAACAAAAATATAATTCTGGTAACAAAATAGGATTTCTTAAGCCTAGACTTCACAGTACGGCAAACAATTTTTTTGACGTAATTATATTGCCACGGTCAGCAGATATTTTTCATAATCCTTATTATTAAAACTAATGATTTGGAATATTAAGAACAAATTATAGGAATGAATCGATTTTAATTAAACTTTATACCCATACGCAATGTATCAATATATATATTTTACGCAATGTATATTTTTTCATCTTCTGCTTCGTCTTCGTTTTATGATCACGCTACTTTTTTCGTTGTTTCTCTTTTCCCCTTCAGTCATGTCCTTGACTTTTTTGTAAACATACTTTGATTTTCAATAAGACAATTCTCGGGTTCTTTTTCCCTTGTTCTTCCATTTTTTCAGGGTTGCTTTTAATCTTTCTCGATACCGCCACATTTTTTCAGCCGGGGTTAGTAGAGGCGTATTTAATTCGGAGCTGTAAAATATAACCAATCACCATACCTTACACAATGAAAAACACATATAAAAGCATTTTTTAAACATGGTTAATAAGCCAAACATACAGGCCAAACATTATTTAAATAAATATAATTTGAAGCACCAGCAAAAATAATTTCATATTCAGCTTCATAGCATTCATAGAAACAGCCCACCATTATATAAGAAAGAAATAAGAAGAAGTAATGTGAGAAAGAGGTTCTTTTATTAGATATCTAAAAATATTCTTATTAACAGCTGAAAACAAAATCACAAAGCTCCCAATCAATTTCACACAATACCTATTATTTATTCAATACATATATAGAAAATATTATATTTTATAATAAGACTTTGTCAAATAGTCAATACTCTGCCTTACAATTTCCTATTTTGTTACCTTCTTTTCCATGTATACGTTACCACTCAAGAGTAACAAAAAAGGAGGTAACAAATTAAGTCAAATAAATTAATAAAATTATATACGCATACAACTAACACTGGTATTCGTTTTTGATTTGACTTACGAAATTAAGATTGAGAGCTTTAATGGTTCTACATGTGAAATAAAAATAAATATTAGAGCTTACCTGCGTTTGTTGGGTAACAAAGTTGGGATATTTTTTGGACCAGTGTGCTAACAGACAATATTTTGTTCGCGCACATGCGACGTAAAAGAAATTTCAAAACGGAATTATGATGGATGGCAATCTTGCGAATGTTGCTACTGTCCTAAAGCGTGTTTATACCAAATTGACTCTGTTAAACTACAAAAATATGGTAACAAAAGAGGAATTTCAAATGGGAACTTTTTACAGGATACAATAAAATAATGATTTATTAAATAAATTTGTTCTAATACGACACAATATTAATTAAGAAATGGATTATATCCGTTTTGTTCTAAATAAATACAATAATTATTTCTACAATTTTCACAAGTCCTCTCAAACACAATCGATTGTTTAGGAAGGTATGAAATTGATACACTTCACTTTTCATACAACTGAATTAGACCGATTATTAAAGTATTTTTCTAATAAATAATCTATTAATATTTTTCTGGCTTATTAGTGTTTTTTACTTAGTTTATTAAACTTAGCAAGTGTATAATTTAATTGAAACTGGTAATGATCTATTTTATATATAGAAAAAAATATTTCAAAACATGGGACAGTGATTTAGATAAAAAGTACATTTTTTTTGAGAAATGCTCTAATAAAAGTTTAGATCACTATTATAAAAATGATTTTGTACTAATTCTATGATATCATTTTACAGTTGCTCAGTGCCGTGTTATAAAATTCACAAAGAAATTCCTTGTAGTCCGCCACAAGAGGCACCTAAGGAAACATGTTATTCAAATACTAAAGAAATAGAGTATGATTATCCTACAGAAGACACAGTGCCAGTTGAAAAATTAAAACTATTAGGTAAGTTTACCATGGTATTTTCTACCACAACATTATAACCATGATTTAATGCAAGTGCCCATAGTTTTGTTTATTGCCATAAACATGGAACACACAGACATTAAGATGCTTTAAAAATCGAGTAAAACTACTGGTTACTACCATTACCTGTCTAAAACTAAAATACCTAATACTGTTCTTAAATTAACTCTATCATTTGTAACATTTACAGAGCAGTCAACGGAATTGAAGAAATGTTTAGAAAATCCTCATGTGAGAGAGATATTAGAGTTACTAGACCATTCTCCATATCCAGATGAATTGATGAAGAAATACATGCAGGAGCCTATATTCACTGAATTTGTTGATGCATGTTTGAAAGTCGTGCAACCACAGAGTGATAATGATAAATAAATTATGCAATTAAATTATATCTAAAATAAAAACTTATATTTTTTTATTTCTACCATAATAACTTATAAATTTTATTTAATTACTAGCCACCCGCCCTGGCTTTGCACGGTGGCGATATGCATGTATTATTATACATATAAACCTTCCTTAAGAATCACTCTATCTATTAAAACCGCATCAAAATCCATTGCGTAGTTTTAAAGATCTAAGCATACATAGGGATAGACTGACGCAGGATATCAACTTTGTTTTATAGGTACTATGTACTGATGGGATATTAGCCCTTTTTTATTTGCATTTATCCACTAACATTTTATCACATTTGTCATATATAAGACTCAGGATTTGTTTCTTTTATGCCCTTCTCTTACTGAAGGCATGAAGTCAATAATAGTTTCATATTACTAATATTACTAATGCCGAAGTTTGTGTGTATACCTGTTGTTCAGTCACGTCAAAACATGATCACGGTGATATTTGGAACAGGGTTAGATAATGGTAAACCGGAAAACAGATGAAGCCACTAGCAGAAGCTACTTAGTAATAAATTAAAGGTAGTAGAAAAAGAAGTATAAAAAAAATCACATTTTATTAATGTAACAAATAATTTGTTAATTTCAATACAAAAATACATCCTAATCAAATTCGCCCAAAGCAGCTCTCAGGTAATTTTCAAATTCTAATGACTTCTTGTTCTTTTCCTCTATTTGGCGTTCCAGCTGTTTGACAGCTTCTACACAGTTGTTGTACTTGGATATATTCTTATCTTTCTCCTTCAGACTTTGATCAACTAAAGTGCGATCCTTGTCTTCTAACATAAGGTAATCTAGTGAATCTAGTTCTATTTTACGTCGCTTTGCTTCAATGTATAAATCGATATCATCTTCATATTCTATAACTTTGTGCTTCATTTCATTTATAGCACTTACTTCATAAATCCATAATGCATTGCGATAATTTTCTAAAGCAGCTTTCTCATAAATAGCAAATCTATTCTCGAAATTATTCAGTCTATTTATTTTTTCGTAGACAATTATGTTCATAAAGTCTACAAGATTATAGTGAGCAAAATATTTGTTGAAATCTTCACATGGCATGCTAATATCTGAGAGTTCTTTAGGTAGCACAGCTACAACTCTACACACCACATCTTCAGGGTTTTCAAACCAACCTATCTGATTGCAGTAGCTATTCATCTGTTCCTGCATGCTTATTGCATTCATTGGTCTAAAACTCAGTGATGGGTCTGGCAATTTGAGTTGATTCATAATCCTTTTAATTGCCGAAATGTTATCCGATGTTTTCGCACTACTTGGTATAAACTCGTATGGTTTTGGATAAGGAGATGCAGTGTCCAAATAAGGTTGAAACTCCAAAGGAAATGATGAAAAATTAAATAAATCTTCATTTGTAATGAGGCTTGTCAAATTATCCACAGCTGTGTTGTAACATTTCACCAATTTGTACAAATCTTTTATGACAGTGGACATACGGCTATCTTTTTCCAATCTCAATCTACACCATATCTCATTACCAAGATACCTTTGACAAATAGATTTCAAATGATCGATTTCTAATGGTGGTAACTTAGGATATTTCTTTGCCAACCATTTCATTGCACTTTTAGAAGACACATTCAATGATTCAAATACATTCTGTGAATCTATAGCAAAGATCCTGTATGCTGATATGACATTGTTCCTTACAAGATTTGACAAAACTGTATCTAATTGCAGTTGGACATATTCCAGTTTAGGAATAATGACAGCAACTGGGACCACCTGGTATGGGTATTTGTGTTTGAGTGTAACATTAATTGTTTCCATGAGATCATTATTACATTCAGTTGCATAGAACAGTAGAGCATTTGCACCTTCAATGGCCTCTGTACCATCAATTCCTTTATCCCGTCCAGTCAGACTAACTGATATAGCAAAGTCCATTAAATGATTCCATGATTGTTTGCTGACATGTATCAGTGTATCAGACACTTCATGTTGTTTCTTATCACTGAAAACATCCAACAACCATTTTTCAATATTAATCTTTCGATGTAACCATTTGTCGACACCAGGAGATACCAAAGTAACTTTCCAGAAGAAACATTTGTCATATGGATAACTTATTTGTTTCATGCGCTTCAGCAGAGGTGATCTTATTATTTCCATAATGTTATATATTTCGGGGGTAGGTAACTGTCGAAGCTCCCCAGTGAATTTATAGCCTCTATGGATAGCATTCATGTTCCTCAGAGCAGCATTTTCAACAAAACGTTTCAAATATGAAGCTTCTTGCAGTGGTGTATTTTGCGGCAGCCAAACAGGCGTGTCTTCTAACAAACTGCGTCTTTTAATGTTTCTTGTGTAATGTTTCCTCCATACATGAAACCATTTTCTCATAATTCGTTTGGTTAAAAATATTTCGGCTTTCAATTCAGATTCACATATTTCGTTAGATATATTTAGTAATATTTCATCATTTACTGTATTTGCAAATTGCATCAAATTGTTAAACTTTTCCAATTCCTCCTTCAAAATACTAGTAACGGTAGGATTGTTCACTTCATTGATTAATTCTTCAACAAGTTCTGTTGATTCTTTTTCAACTCTTTCCTTGAATTTCTTTTCTTCTTCAGCTTTTCGTTTTAGCTCTGCCTTCCTCTCTTCTTCTAGTTTTCTCTTTAGTTCCTCTTGTTTCCTTTGCTCTTCTTTTCTTCGTTGTTCCTCCTGCAGGCGAAGCTCTTCTTGTCTCTTTCGCGCTTCTTCCTGTCTCTTCCGAGCTTCTTCTATGCGCCTTTCTTCTTCTTGACGCTGCAGTTCCTGTTTTCTCATTTCTTCTTCCTTTCTTATTTTTTCTTGCAAAAGCCTTTCTTCTTCCTTTCTTATTCTCTCGGCATTAAGACGTTGAAGTTCAGCCTTCTTTTGTTCTTCGTCTTCATTTTGATCGAAATCATAAATCGAGTGACCCTCGTTTGTTATTGAATTCAGTATATTATCCGCAACAGTCTGCGCTTTGTTTTTACTTGGGAATATTGAATAGTTCTTAGTATCAGTACCATTGGGCGGAATAATAGCACTCTTGAAAACGCTAGTTGGAGACAACTTGCCAGCCGCGGCTTCACCGTTAGTAAATATCGAATTCGCTTTTTCTTCAGGATTTGCAGGTTTGGCAAAAACATTGGTTTGCTTCGCAAAACCACCAAATATGTTGGCTGGTTTTTCTTCACTTGTTGATGACTGAGCTGGCTGATTAAATATATTTCCGCCTTTCTCAAACCCGCCTGTGTCACGTTTAGTGGAAAATATACTTTTGTTAGTAAATAATGGTTGTTTTTCACTACTGTTATCTTCGCTTGGTGCGAACAAATTTTTAGGCATTGTGTCGGTAAACAAGCCTGAGGGCTTTAATTTTGTTTGCGGTTGGAATACTGAATTTCCTTCTGGTTTTTTAAACACGTTTTTATCCTCTGTTTTTCCTCTGAAAAGAGGCTGCGCATTTAGGTCTTTGTTAATTTTTCCAAATATGTTATTTGGCTCTGGGACAGTTGTGGTTTCAAACAAGCGTTTGACTGTTTCTTTTCCAGTAAATAAATTGGCGGCGACTGACGTTTCTTGAGGTTTAGAAAAGGAAAATATAGTTTTAGTATCCTCACTGAATATTTTTTCGGGAGAATTCTTAATGATATCCGATGATGCAACTGGAATCGCAGGTTTGAATAAAAACGGTTTATTTTCGGTAGATAGTGGTAGTTTGGAGGTCATAAAGATTGGATTTGCAGGTGCACTGAATTTAGGAGCCTGCTTTGGACTTGTAGATAGTATATCAGGTTTGACGAAAACATTTACTTTGTTGTCAGGAGGTTTATCCATAACAATTGCTTTTCCTTGAGATAATTTTTGAATCTCTGCCTTTAGAGATTGTATATCTTTGTTGCTGTCATTCAATGTATTGTAGCCTTGATCATCAGCAGTTAACGCACTTTCTTTTAATCTGCCATCGAAATGAAAACTTGTATACAAAGTGTGACGACTGCATCCGGTGTCCGGGAGTTGTCCACCAGCGATGATTTCACCAACCGTAACTTTCCTCTTAGATTCGATAAGGTTTATAGCTCTTGAGATGGGATAAGGATCACTATCTTCAATGAACTGATTTCTATCCAGTATGATTGTCACTTCACCATCACAGTCTTCAGTTCTGGCAAATCTCAGGCCATAATGATTGATGAATGATTTCAAATTCTCTATATTTTCAAAAGCAAGTGAACTCATCATATCTTCTGCGGGGTATCGAGACCCACCTCTTGGAGCGTACGCCTTGACTATTCTAGCGAGAGCTCGTGCACGTACATCATTGAAGTACCGCAACAGAATACAAGCTTGAAGATAGTTCGCTTCTTCTTTGACTAGTCGGAAGAATCTCACGTAGTTATTATTGTCAATAGCATTAAATACTTTGATTGCAAATATTATAGGTGCCGATTTCTGTATTTCTATTGGCAGCTGTTTTATCTGCAAATAATTAAAAAAAGATATTTATTTCAAACAATTCGATAAAAGGACTAATTAACTTATTTTAAAAGTAACATGAATGAACTGACCTCCCACCAGAAGTTAGCGTCCCCTAAATTGAGTAAAGCAACATATCCCCTGAATTCGGCTTCTCTTGGTTTTTGTTCTGGGCCCACGTCAGCATACATGTGTTTGAGTGTTTGTAGGCATTTTGTAAGATTATCAGTGTTCAGCTTTTGGTCGAACTGAGTGTGTTCGAGGTCCGCAAGCCTTGCAGCACAGTGCGCATGAAATCGTGCACACATTTCCACCAAGCAAATTGAGTCTGAAAATTGTAATAATTATATCAATTAATAGGCAACTGCTTGTCCAACAGCTGTAGAAAGAAAGATACATCATTTTGTTTCAAAGTGTACCTGCACAGCACAGAGCCTGCTGTGTTATATCCTTTCTGATGCCACGAAGCCGATCCCACATGAAATGGAACCAATCGGCTAA